AGAATCAGGTGAGTGAAGGAAACAAACAAAATAACAAATAAAGAAAACAACTTCTTCCTACGCTCCAGGTTTGGGGTCTTCAGCGTCGGGGTCACGGCTCGGTTGGCGAGTAAAGCGAGACTTAAACTCAACAGCCAATCCCGTCTCAACGCTCCTCTGGACAGGAAGTCTCACCACTTTCTTCTTCTTCTCTTCCTCTGTGGGGCCACAGAGAGGAGGGGAGTTTAATGAGCGACACTTCCTTCTCCTGCCTGCAGGGTGCAGTAAACCTCTCACACACACACACACACACACACACACCTTCAGGGTTGAGCTGCGATGCACTCTGGCTCTTCTTTCCCAGTCCCACCATTCCCATCATCCTCGCTCCAAAACTGGAACGTCGCTTCTTATCGTCGTCGTCGTCGTCGTTTCTGCCCAGTGAGCAAATTTCACCGCCGACGCTTGAGGACTTCGTCAGAGGAGCGCCCGATATGGACGCTGGCCTGCAGGGGGCGAGAGACACAACTGGATCTGTCAATCATCAGGGCGGGGCTTGACTAACAACAACACTCATGTGATTGGACCTTCAGATCACGGCACTGACAGGATGTGGGTGGCGGCTAACTCTACGTGGTTCAACCCTTACTTTGAAGGCTCCTCCTCCTCCTCCACCTCCTCTACTGATTCACTCTTTTGCATCAGTGCAGCGCCCTCTGGTGCTACACCTGCCGACTCCTCTGATTCCTCCCCCAACGATTGGCCTTGTAGAGCCTCCCCCCGACTGAATTGGCCAATAAAAGGAGAGAACAGAAGCATGCCAACAGGAACATGCAGGAAGCAACATGCTAACATGCTAACATGCTAATGTATTAGCTGACAGTAAAACAACATGGTGGACGTAAAGTAGACGGAAACTGAATGTGAAAATAATAAAACACAGAACAACAAACACAGCATGCTACTCTCTGATTGGCCCTTTACTTTACCTGATTTTACGGATAGGCCGAGTCTCCGACGCATTAGACATGGCTGAAACTTCACTGACGTCGCTGTCGGATGATTTAAAAGACAGACTGTCTCTCATCTGGACACAAACAGACAGAACAGGACGAGTCAGCTGGTCTGTACTACCAAAGATGGTAGCTAACGTTAGCTCTGGTGTCTGTCCCAGGACTGTCGTAGCTAACGTTAGCTCTGGTGTCTGTACCAAGACTGTTGTAGCTAACGTTAGCTCTGGTGTCTGTCCCAGGACTGTCGTAGCTAACGTTAGCTCTGGTGTCTGTACCAAGACTGTTGTAGCTAACGTTAGCTCTGGTGTCTGTCCCAGGACTGTCGTAGCTAACGTTAGCTCTGGTGTCTGTACCAAGACTGTTGTAGCTAACGTTAGCTCTGGTGTCTGTCCCAGGACTGTTGTAGCTAACGTTAGCTCTGGTGTCTGTCCCAGGACTGTCGTAGCTAACGTTAGCTCTGGTGTCTGTACCAGGAATTGTGGTAGCTAGTGTTAGCTCTGGACTGTTGTAGCTAACGTCAGCTCTGGGGTCTGGACCAGGACTGTTAGCATTAGCTAAGTGCAGCGTTCTCACCTTGGATGGATCCTTCATCACACCTGTGGAGACAGAGACACAGTGAGTAAATGTACAGAACTGTGAGGTCACTGTGACATCAGCACGACAGGTGGTGATGTCACAGACTGTGATGTCACTGGAGCCAATGGATAAACACTCAGTGACATCACAGTTCACCTCCTTCTCCCTTCACACACACACACACACACACACAGATGGAGGGAGATGATTGGCTGTGGAGACCCCTGAAGGGAACAGCCAATCACGACTAATCGTGATTAGTCGTGATTAGTCGTGATTAGTCGTGAACACCCTGGTGATTAATCCACCACTGACGTTGATTGACAGCCCTAATATATAAATACATATATATGTGACAGCCAGGACACTCACCCAGTACTAATGGGAATTCCCCTGCATACCACAAGAGGGAGCTCAAGTACCACAGGTGGAAGTCACCCTACAGGTTGAGAACCACTGATCTAGACCAGGTCACTGTGGAGTCGGGCTGTGTCCCAATCACTGGACTGCATCCTTTGAGCGTACGGCCTGGAGATAGACCTGAATTTGTCAGTGCCCTGCAGACCTGGGACAGACCTACGTGGACCAGGTCCATGTGGACCAGGTCCATGTGGGCTACAGCCAATAATTGGGACACGGCTGAAAGTAATGCAGACTCAGACCAGGAAATCCAAACCGTCTCCAGCTAATCAAGCTGACAAACACTCATGGTCTACAGACTTCCTGTCTACTGGTGGGCGTGGCTAACACGCTAACAGTACGTTACCATTGGCCATTTTCTTTTGCTGGTCCTCCCATGTCACTTCTACATCAGATGGAGAGAGGTGATTGGTCAGACCACAACAACACCAGCTGACGGTAAATCACACCAGAGCACATAAACCAGCAGGGGGCAGACCCCCCCCACCTGGA